AAAAAAAGAAAAGAAAAAACAATCAAACATTAAAAAGTTGTTTGAGAACTAAGAAAGAAAAGTTAGTCTCAAAGAATATTCTTTCAGGTCCCTATGAAAGGTTTAATATAAAACATTTTGATCCTTTTTTTAAGATCCACAATTACATTTCATCTTTTGAGGAAATATTAGGTTCTAGACATTATGCTAAATGCGAAGTATGCCATAGTGAATAAAAGGTGCTCTTTTTGTAAGGAGTTTTTATTCTGGTAGAGAAAATAGATACATAAATTCAATATAGTGCATTAAATTATATGACAAAAGTAGGCGGAGGATACAGCAAGAAGGTGACAACTGAGCTTAATATTGATGAATAAATAGGTAATAGCACAGGAAAGACATGAAGGATATTCTGTGCAGAGGGGACTATAGACACAAAGGCTTAGAGGGACAAAGTCACATACTATATTTTTGTGTGTGTGAAATGAGATATGTAAAATAGACGGAATAAGAAATGAGGCCAGGCTGAGCACAGACAGTCTCTGGTTCCATTAATTCTGTCTCTAAGTCAAATTGAACATGAATCAGCCCGCTTAGTTTCAGTGTGTATCTAGCATTAGTTATTCAATCAGTAAATGTGTCTTAGGATATAGGATATCATGTATCTTTCTATACATGAAAACGATTCAATACTTGTTTTGTATACTAAACATATTTTCCATAGTGATACAGTATTAATGTTTTTGTGTACATCCATTTATTATTATGAACAATTGTAGGTACCTCAAAATTTTAATATAGTGGACTTTGTACAGTTTGCCTCATGAGTATGGGTTGTATGTAATTCCAAGCATTTATAACTTGAGGACAGCCTGTCATCTGCAAATCACCCAAAAACCATGGCAATGAGTTTGCATTTCAGCTTTTGGGTGACTCAAAGCCATGGACTATTTTAAATTGGGGAGTGATGTGGTTTAACACACATCACTTTGGTGAATGTATGCTTAATATAATCAAAAGGACAAGTATAATGACAAAGAACTCTGGGTGATTATTTCAATAGCCAAAAGAAAATAGTCTCAGCAAAAATGCCAAAGTAAAAGGATTTAAGAATATTTTGAGGGTAAATGATCAGGAGTTTGTAACCAATTAGAAGCGGGTTGAATATTAGGGAGGGATATGTGGATATGAACTTGTGGTACCTGTGATATTCCCAAGTGGAAATATTCACCAGAACTTGAGTATTTGAGTTTGAATTATGATAAGCACGAAATGTGAGTCTATGTAAATATTATAAAAATAAATAAAACTCCTAGCAAATATATTACAGAATGTGCACACACACACAAATGAAACCAGGGGAAAAATTCAAATGTTTTTGAAAAAGAGAATGAATAAATAAACTGTTATGTAACCATGCAATGAATACTATATAGCTATGAAATGAATACTACAACCACTTACATAAAATAGAAAATTCTTACTAAGAAAATGAAAAGTTTTGGAAAACCTGAGATGATGTGATATGTACATAATTAAAAATAAGCAATAACTTATTTAAGGATATTGTATCTACCACTGAACACCGTTGAAAACCCTATGGAGTGAAGATCTTCTTAGAAACACATGGTGTTAACATTGGTCAGAATCAATTCAATAGCAACTGGTATGGGTTGCTTTCAGTTTGATATAGGTGAAAACTCTAATAAACAGCAAGTAATGAGAACCAAATTTGAAAATAGTGGTGTCCTAAAATGGGCAGGGGAAGTAATTGTAGAAGATGCACAAGGAACCCCAATGGTAGTGTTGATGGTTTCTTAAGATATGTGAAGGCCCCACCAGTATTAATATGCAAAATTTGTACATAAATTACACATATATTTTTAATAGAAAATTCTTGATTTTCATGAATTAGTGAAGATTAGCAGATCAGAGTATCTTTTAATTCCACAATTTATGCACATTTTTTTTTGTGTCATTGGTTGCAATCCCCACAATCCATCATAGCTTATCTCACTTCTTCCTTGTTTCCTGTCACCAATCCTCCTTCCTGCCTAAATCTTCTGGACAGTGTCCTTGGGTAAATGCTGTTCTTTTGTTTCATATGGTTGATGACCTGCAATACCTTTATCTTACAAGATGAAAAGAGAGAGGAGAGAAAGCAGAATACACTAGTACCAAGAGAAAAAGAGTCAGGAACAGAGTTTATTCTTTGGAACCAAGTTTCTGCACAGGTAACCTCCTAGAACCAGAGGGAGATTGATGCCAAGACACATGGAGTGCTTCATGGAATGCCAGGCCTACAAATGCCGAAAGGAGACAGAGATCTTCCTCCTAAACTGTGGAGCCAATTGTGAGAGCAAGTCCTCCTCAATAGCTAGTGCCTTGAATTCAGACTTCTAGCTTCCTATACTGTGAGAGGCCAAATTTGTGTTTGTGAATGCCACATACTTGTGACATTGGTTATGACAACACTAGATAAGTGAAGCACTCCCCTACCATCTCTCTTCATGAGTCATTTGTGTGACAGTCTTTCAAGACTCCCATCATGAAACATGAGTAGACAATATGAAAGTACCAGATGCTCTTTCCTCCAAATGAAACATGAATAGGATTACATCTCTGTTAACTTCAGTTTGAAACAGACTCAAACTATTGATAGGAGACAACTTTACAAAATGTGTTGATTTACTTAACATTTCAAGTAATTAAAGTTGTGCTGCAATAATATCATTCTAATGTTAATTTCCCACATCTACTTCGTGGGGATTTACAAACAGCTTGTAATTTCAATTCTATGCCTGCTTCCGCATGTCACTTATCTGTCATCTGCTCTTGGCCAACAGCAAATCTCCACACATTCATTTGCTATCCAAACATTATATTACAGGGTTTTATCCTGTTCAAATTTCAAAACAACTACTTTGTACATTCTGTTACCTGTTTATTTAGTAAGGGTATCGATTATTTTCTTTTATAAATCTTATTATTTTTATACTTGATCTTTATTTTTAGTTTACCATATTCTGTACAAAAACTGAATATTTTAGAGTGTCGCATGCTCAATTTTCATTGTGTTTATTTCCTCAGGCTCACCTTTTCTGAACTGGGATACTAAAATTTTTTTTAATTATATATAAATGCAAATGAAAATATAAGTGTATGTATGATAGGACGTTAGAACTTGTGCAAGTGTTCACTTCAGCAGCACGTATACTAAAATTGGAAAGATACAGAGAAGGTTAGCATAGCCCCCACACAAGGATGACATGCAAATTCATGAAATGTTCCATATTTTTTTAAATTGACTTTACAAAAAAAAAAAAAAAAGCTTGTGAAAAATCTTCCCTTATCTTTTAATTTCATCTTTCCATGGACTATTTGAACGCCCTTGCATGTGTGTATGTTAATGTCCCCTAATAACTAACACCCAAATGTGTCAAAGAAATGTTTTTATTGTGACAAATAGATGTGTTATCAAATATTTGTCCTTTAAACATTATGAGGACTTCTGGCAAGATGGTCACTGTGTAACACATACCAGAGGGACTCTGCCAAAATCAGTGCAGGAGAGCCACTAAGAGCGAAATTCCACACGGCCAGGTCACAGGAGGAGCACAAAGATAAATAGACACAGACCCACTAGGTTTTGAGGAGCTGGGAGCTTTTGGCTTTCTACTGTGGAGGCCAGCTAGGCTTTAACCTTAACCCCACCACTGTCTTGGCCAGAGCCGGGATCCTTTGGAGACGGACCAAGGGATTTATCTCACCACAGCCACAGCTTGCCACAGCCTCCAAGCAGGGTTTTAACACCTCCAGCCCCATGGTCATGGAACGGGGCTCAGCTTTATTGTTACTTTTGTTTCCCTCTCTTCTCTTTTACCATTCACATTCTCAGATGGCTCAGTTTTTTCTCTTCCCTTTTCTCATATGCCACTGCCACCATCCAGGCCGCTCCCCTTCCCTCCACCAATATGGGGGAGCACTGCCCTTTGCAGTATAACATGAGGCTGGGGAAAGCCCACCCACCTTCCTCCAGGGGAAATCCTATCTACCTGCCCACCCTCTGTAGCACTTAACACATGGCCGGGGAAATCCTGCCCACCGTCCTCTAATGGAAATCCCACCCAGCTTCCTCCTGGGGGATTTCCTCCTGCCCACTTGCCCACCCTCAGCCACGCTTAATATATGGCTAGGGAAATCCTTCCCACCTTCTTCCGGGGAAAGTCCAGCCTGCATGCCTGGGTAGTTCCTACCTGTATTCTGTGGTCCTGCGTGACTGAGGGAACTTCCTATCACCTGCCATAGTGCCTCACACGACCTTAGGCAGCTCGGCCAACACTCTCTAGCACTCCATACTGCTGCTGCAACCGCTGTCCAACCGCCACGGTGATCTAGCTGACCACAGAAATTCTGCCCACCATCTGTGGTACTCTACACCAAAGCAAGTACACCCACCTGAATTATGTGGCACTCCCGTTGCAGCAGGCACCCTCTCATGCCCTCTGTCATGCCCCAAACGGCCATGGGCCACACCATATGACTTCTTGTGAGATCACCCAGTGCAGCACCATCCTCCTGGGTCCACAATCATCCGACCAGTATTCCCTGAGAGGACCATCCAACTGGCCCTCCAAATAACAGAATACTGGTAGACTAGAGAAAGAGTGAAGCCACAGGAGGATAAAGTGTTAGGCCAATTCCATAGTGCAATTAGGTGCAGGCAGTTTGAAGAAGCATTCCTACAAGTCTCCCAGTGAAAGCCCAGGGCTCTTCGACTCTCTGGAAAATGGCACCAAGCACCTCTAAAACAATGCAATGCAAACAGCAATCAGCCCCAACAACCTCAATGAAAAATAACAGGAGAAACAAAAGGCAGTGTCAGAGAATGTGTGAACCTCACAACGTTCATAGAAGAAGCGGATATTGATCTGCCACAGAAATAACTTTTCAGAATGCTGCTTGGAGTCATACAGGAGATGAGGGAAATAATACAGAAAAAGGATGAAATGATAGCGGAGATAAAGACCATACACCAAAGGGAAATAAAAGAGCTTATGGAGTAGACAACAAAAACCAGTAGCAGACTCATGGGCTTCTCCAGTCAACTGGAGGAGGCAGAGAACCTCACCAGTGACCTAGAGGACAGCCAAGCAGACTTTAACAAACGCGAACAAAAATCTAATAAAATTATCAGAGAAGCTGAAGAAAACCTAAGAGCTATGTCTGAAGCTATTAAGAAGAAAATCAGAATAATTGGATTACCAGAGGAAGACACAACAAAGATGTCAACCACAAAAATAGTGAGAGAATTCTTGAAGGAAAACTTCCCCAGCTTAATGAATGAAAACCAGGCAACCATTCAGGAGGCTGAAATAACACCAGGTAGACTGAATCCCAAGAAGTCACCAAGGCTCATCATAGTTAAACTATACAACTTTGACGAAAAGAAGAAAATCATGAGAGCAGCTAGGGAAAAACAAAAAATCACATATAAAGGTTCCCAAATAAGGATATTCTCAGACCTATCAGTGGACACTATGAAGAAGAAGAAAGAGTGGAGCAACATATTCAAAAAATTGAACGAAAATAATGCAAACCCAAGAATACCTGATCCAGCCAAATTATCTATCAAGACAGATGGAGAAGTAAGAGTCTTCCAAGACAAGGAAAAACCCAAAGAATACGTTAAAAGAAACTCGCCCTAAAAAAGATCTTGCTGACCCAGTATGGGCAGAAGAACAACACTCACCAAGCATAAATAAGAGACCGCCACATAGAACAACCCCAACCAGAAGGCAGCAAAGAGAAAACGGGCCTCAAGATAGCATTGGTTAAAGGGTGGAAAGAAGTCAAGAATGAAATACACACACACGCAACACTGATAAGGAAGGGAGTCAGGATAACACCCAACACAAAAAGTATAAGATGATATCACAGAGTCCACAGATGGATGCAATAACCCAGAAGATCAATGGACTGAACTCAGGCATTAAAAAAGCTGAAGATACCAGACTGACTTAGAAAACACAACCCATCAATCTGCTGCCTACAGAAGACACAACTCAAGATTACAGAAAAACATAGGCTGAGAATCAAAGGCTAGAGAAAAACATGCCAAGCAAACAGCAATTCAAAAAAAAGCAGGGGTTGCAATCCTAACCTTGGATAAAACTGACTTCAAAGTGCAAACCATAAAAAGATATAAGGAGGAACACTATATAATGCTCAAGAGAACGGTAGACAATGAACCATTAAGAATTTTAAACATATATTCCCTGAACGACAGACCCATTGACTACGTCAATCAAATGCTCCAAGAGACGAAAAAAGAAATCACAGCCTCAACAATTATCATAGGTGACTTCAATACACCGCTCTCTGAGAAAGATAGATCACAAGGAAAGAAACTCAACAAGGAGGCTTGGGATCTAAACACTACAATTAGACAATTTGATATGCTAGATATTTACAGGGCTCTCTACCCAACTATTAAAAAGTTCACCCTTTTTTCAAGCCCACATGGCACATGTTCTAAGATAGACCACATACTGGGGCATACGTCGAATCTGCACAAATTTAAGCACATTGATATCATACAGACCTCTCTTCTGACCACTGTACCATAAGGCTAGAAATCAACAAAAGGAAGATGAAGAAAACAAGGGCAAACAATTGCAGGACGAATAACTCTCTATTTGAAAAGGAGTGTGTACTGGCCTAGATCAGAGATGAAAGTAGGAAATTTCTAAAAACCAATGAGAATGAGAACACAATGTACCAAAACTTATGGGACACAGCAAAGGTAGTTATCAGAGAAAGTTTAATAGCAATACATGTACACATGAAAAGGGAAGAGAGACTTATGATTGATATGCTAGAATAAAATTTATAGCAACTAGAGCTTCGTCAACAGGACAATCCTACTAATAGCAAAAGCAAAGAAATAATAAAAATCAGGGCTGAGATCTAGGAGAGGGAAAATAAGAAAACTCTGGAAAAGTTAATGCTGCTAAAAGTTGGTTCTTTGAAAGGATAAACAGAATCCACAGACTGCTGGCAAATCTAACCAAATAAAGGAAGGAAAAAATTTCAATAGCAAGGATGAGGTGTGAAAGAGGGGACATCACAATAGACTCTAATGAAACCAAAAGGATAATTACACAGTCCTACAAAGGACTGTACTCTAATGAATTCAACAACTTGGAAGACATGGACAAATTCTTGGAAAAACAATTCCTCCATAGACTATGCCTAATGGACATCATGAATCTCAACAGACCCACAGCAACAGAAGAAATAGACAAGGCTATCAAGGGATTACCAACAAAAAAATCCCCTGGGCCAGATGGCTTCAGAGGAGAATTCTACCAAGCATTCAGGGAAGAACTGATACCAAATCTATACAAATTCTTCCAGAACATAGAACAAGGCAGCAAACTTTCAAACTCTTTCTATGAAGCTAGTATAACTCTGATGCATAAACCAGGCAAGCATCCCACAAGAAATGAGAACTACAGACCACTATCCCTAATGAACATCAATGCAAAAATCCTTCACAAAATACTGGTCAATAGAATACAAAAGGATATAAAACAAATAATTCACCATGACCAAGTGGGATTCATACCAGAGATGCAGAGATGGTTCAACATACAAAAGACCATTAGTATCATTCACCACATTGACATGAAAATCTAAAAGAACAACATGATAAGATGGATAGATGTGGAAAAAGCATTCTACAACATCCAACACTAATTCCTGTTTAAGACACTCAAGAAGATAGGAATGAAAAAAAGATCCTTAATATAATACAAGCTATATAAGAAAAACCAACAACCAACTTGGTACTCAATGGAGAAAAGATGAAAATAATCACACTGAAAAGGGGAACCAAACAAGGATTTTCCTTGTCCCCACTCTTATTTACCATCCTACTGGAGGTCTTAGCTAACAGCATAAGGCAAGGAAAAGACATCAAAGGTATTCACCTGGGAAAGGAAGAGGTGAAACTATTGTTATTCTCAGATGATATGATACATGCAAAAATCCCAAAAGCTCCACAAGGAGGAGTACTGGAAGTAATAGAGGAATATGGCAGAGTGGCAGAATACAAGATCAATGATCATTAGTCTATTGGACTGCTATACACATCAGACAAGACCACAGAAGAGGAAGTAAAAAAGGTGGTACCTTTAACAATAGCCAAGCACAAATTGAAATACCTAGGGATATACCTGACTAAAAAAAGCAAGTACGAGGAAAACTACAGAACCCTATTACAAGAATCCAAGAG